AAAGAACATGATAAACTAAAAGAGGTGGTTCCATTCTTCTTTTAAGGAGGAGCACATAGAGGACTTAGCAAAAATTTAGGTGTGGCATTGATTGCTTACTTAATAGGTTTATTCACCACGGCTTGATTGATGCAAATTTTTCCCAGGTGAATGAATTTGTGATGCTTATTCCCAAAAAATTCAAAGATACCTCAAAGGAGGAGGATGAGGAAGGTGGCAAAGACAAAGATCGCTCGGCAACTCGTTCTCTTATACTTAACAAAAAATTTGCATGCCTTTTTTTTATTAGTCAAAGGAAATTAATATAGGTAATTGTAAATGTTTCAGTATATAAAAAAAAATATTTGACATTTATGTGCTTGTTTTATGATATCCATGATAGATTTTTGGCTATTCGTTATTTATTCAACTAGGAAGAGTGTCAGTCATTTTTATTTTCTTTTTATTTTTTTATCGACCAATAGACATGCTTCGTTTAAACTGTTCAATTGGATTTTCACCCCCGAAGAGACTCGCATCTGGGGTGATTTTTATAAAGTCTCGTGGATCTTGTCACTGGTATATATTGAATCACCTTTAGGGCTTAATCTTAAACATAAACAAGGCATCTTCACATTGATCGACTAAGATTCATGTGATCGACCAATAAAATCTATCGAATAAAAAAACATAATTTCTTTTTTTTTATCGAGTTGTTTACATCAATTATTTGCTCTTATGCAAAATTGTGTCATCACTAACCCTCAACGCGTCTGATCAATTGGATATTTGTCATGGCCATGTTTACTCCTTATACTAGACATGAATCTTGTCAATACCTATGAGAGTAACCTCCAGGACATATTTCCTGGATGATTTACACTATACTCTTTCACGGATCTTGTCACCAGCGAGCTCAGAACCATCTCTAGAAACCTGACCACCTCCACCTTGGGAATTTGGGTTTGCAACACAAAGCAGTATAAAAAAATAAATTAATCTATTGTAGCCATTCATTCTGTGATTCATACATTTTCACTCCAATTTGAGCTCACGGAGCATTGAAAAATGGTTGTCGAACTTCATACAGACAGTTATTTTTCTTTTCTCATAACCTCTGATGAGACAGCTTTAAAGATTGCTTTCACTGGGATCTGAATTTTTCCTTTCCTTTTTGTAAATCTGGTTGCTGAGTTTTCTAGCCACAGTGTCGAGTTGTCATGCCATGGTGTCGATTTGTCTTAACGTGAGCCCTTAGCAAGCTTTTGTTGGACAAATTGTGTTGGAATCATTAACCGTCCCTACTATAAAAAGGGGGAGGGGATCTGACAATTGCACTCATACTCGAGATAAGTTAAATAATGTGAGAATTTTGTTGACTGTGTTGATCAGAGGAGAAGGTGATTTTTCATCGACAGACATGATGGGCCTTACGAGGGCCAAGCACTAGCTTTACTTTTTCTTCGAGCCAAGGTCAAAGGTGCGGACTTTCTCCGAGTAGGGTGTTGCATGCAACATAGTCGCGAATCGACATCAACAAAAATTCCTCTTTTTGAACGGTTGCAGTGAGCCCTGACGAAAGGTTGTGTTGAGTACAGCCAATCAACGGTTGTTGCCAAGAGAAGTCGACTTCTTAGTGCTAGTGGTACAAGAGTGGGACTTGGAAGGCCGCCTAGCAATTGTATCTTCCCACTCTCCATCGTCTTCCCGTACGAAGAAAAATATGAGAATGTGAAGAAACGGAGTGTAAAGAATGCCCTTGGCGAGGGCTTGTTGACTGAAGTCTACCAAAGCTTTCAGCAAAAGCTTGAAAGATAGTTCTCATCTCAGAAGAATTGTAAAGGGTCTACCTTTTGTATTTACTATTCTATGTATGTTTTGTACCTTTCAATCGAGATAAATGAAATGTTTGCTTCTTATTTTATATGGTTGCTACTAGTTTAGTCATTCAAACATTTAGTGGGGTTAAGCCCTTCATTTCCCAATGTACATGTGGCTGCTTGTAATATCGAAGTGGTCACTAATTAGAACTCTGACTCTAGCCATAATGGCTTCGGCTCTCCCTTAGTTTTGGGTTTTGCTATGGTGTTTATGATAAAAAAGATTTTGATTGTCTCTCGACCTCTACCCTTCATCCTCTGCATTCCTCTTCTTCAATCATGGGTCGGTTGATGTCAATTTGGCTAGGGCAAAATTTGTGAAAGATTCCTCGCCAGTGATATGGTTGTTGGCCATCTCCAACATCTTGGAAAAAAAACTTTGGTTCAAGCATATTCAAGTCATACTTAAAGCGCCCGTTTCTATCCCTTTGTGCCAGAGCAATATAGGCTATCAGTAGTTGAAAATCTTACACTTCTAACATCTTCTAAATTTGGGTGATGTAAGATTGCAAGCTTTCGTTCTCCCTCTGCATGATTTGCACCAAAACCTGTATTTTCTTCCTTGACTTCTGCATATTGGCAAAGTGCGCTAGAAAAAGATTCCTGAACTCAGCAAAGGTTGGGATAATTACGACCGATAGAGCATGAAACCAGTGAAGAGCTTATTCTTTAAGTGTCATCAAGAAGAAGTGGCATTATACGGCGTCTTTGATTTGCAAGATTCCAACCAATGATTAGAAAGGCACTAGGTGGACTGTCAGATCACTCCTTCCTTTGTAAAGATCTAGATGGGGAATTCTCAACTTTATCGGCAATATAGCGTCCAGGATTTGTCAAGTGAAATTGCCAGGGGCGGGCTGAACTAGAGCTTCAGCACATTCTATTCAATGTCTAACCAACGACATAAATATGATGCTAGCTAACTGTGGGGAATCTCCTCTCCCTTTAGTTGCCTACTTACTGACGCATCTGATCGGTTTCGGCAACTGCTCTGGGGTAACTCTCTGAGAGTGAGTTCCTCGAGATTCAACCCCTACGAGTGCAAGCTGATCGTTTATTTGTATGATTGCTTGTCGAAGGACCTCGAATTAATCCATCATCGGCTTTCACAGCTCCTAGACTTGTTCTTGAATCTCCTGATTCACAGATTCTCTGTTGAATTCCATCATTCCGGGATTCCTCTGCTGTGATTTTCCTTCACAATTGGCTCCGCTTCTCCTCCGAGGCATATCCACACTCACCACACCACCTTTTAGAATGGTGAATCATAATTTATCTTCTTGAAAGACACATCCCAAGAGTTAGAGCTGAGAGGAGAGAAGTGAAAGAAAAAATTCAAGAGCATCATAAAATCTCAAACTGACGGGGTGTTAAAAGTGAGGATCCCCAAGTGAAAGAATATAAAAGTCTTATTATTGATGTTATAACCTTCTATATATATGGGTCTCTTGAGTAAAATTACATATAAAGAAAGATCAGTTTCTATAACTGCCTGAATGACTTAATTGACACATTTGTTGGTTTTGTCGGTCGAAAGCCTCCGTCACTCGATACCCCATGTTGGTCGGCTCCACTGAATCAGATCGATTGCTTGCCAATGAAATTTGTTTTCCCTAGCTCATAACCCCGTTTGGACACATCTATTTTGGGACGTTTGATTGTCTTGAGATTCGTACTGACATATTTGTCATATAAGGGATGGGTGCTCATATGTTTTGATACTTTATTCATACCACACATTATTGTCTTTCAAACTCATTTAAAAAAAATTATTCTTCACCTATAAAAATAACAGTCATAACTGTCAAAAATATTATCTTATATTACAAATGTTAACCATTTTACATTCTCTAACCCTCAAATTATAAGTTTAAAATTTAGTTAGCTTATTTTTCTACATAAAATCTTAATGATTTATTGGCATTGTAAAAATGTCAATAAAATAATCATTTTTTAGCTTAAAACCTTGGAAGTACGTAATGAGAAGGAATATCTAGCAAATATTTGCGTCCCACTTAGACATCTTACAAGAATAAAATGGGCAAATGAAATATCTAACAAGAAAAGGGCATTAAAGAGTTTTTAAAACTAAAATTTAAGATGGAATATTGTGATCATAATTTGATTACGATGAATTTCAAATTTCTTAGATTTATTTGGACAATTATAATAATTAAAAATTTAAATAATATTTTTGTTGTACACATTAACAAATTTTAAAATTTGTAAAAAATCATCCTAATAACATTAGTTGAGTATCCAAATACGTTTTGACTTTAAAATTTAATAGTTGGCCTAATGCCTCGTTAAAATTACAAGACTACATATTATGAAAAGATTTCCACTTTATTTGATTCCCCCCGTGCAGAACTTTGAAACTTTTAAGAACTTCTAATAATATTAAATGTTGATTGTTTTAATTACTAAAATTTGATTGTTCCTAGATTTTAAGCAATCATTTTAATGAAATTAGCCCACCCCAACAGCACAAATCTAATATGACAGTCAAATTTGACAAATATTTCATTTCTGACTGCTGCTGAGCCGATGATAAAAATGAAAAACCATGGCATTAACTTTTACTGCATCGTCAGGTAAATTTTTCAAGAGCTCAAATGAAAACAATGCGAAAAACGAAATATCAGGTTTTAGAGATTTCGAAGATGTTTGCAGACACCATAATCATTACTGACTTTCAAAAGGCACATTCCCAAGCATAACAGCCAAATTCTGATATATTTAGATATCTAATATCTAAATTTTACTGTTTACACTTAAGCCACCAAGTGTAATATTTTAACTTATAAATAAAAAAAATTAAAATACGCATTTTTCATGCATAAATAAGATGATATATATATAAAAATTGAAGTTTGGGTTAGATGTATAAATACATTGAGAATTAAGTGATATAAATATAAATCTTCCTAAGCTTTAATATATATGTGTGTGTAAAAACTAAAATTTAGGTGTCATGTAAATACACGAGAATTGAGTGGTGTAAATCTTCCACGATAAAAATATCAAACCAAATAATAAAATCTAGAAAATTCATCATCTTTTATAACATGTAATTTCTAACTTCAGGCAACAAAATGGGTCCAGAGCTTACTAGTAAGCATCTCGTCCAGAGCTTACTACTAAGCATCTCGTAAAACAGGATAATGAAAATATGACCATCTTGGCTTACACATGTGTCAATAACCATGCCCCCCAGTTTTCCATGATTATAAGAAAAATAGAAAAATGAACATATCTATATCTATCTATCTATATATAGATTGATATTGGAACTTACTAAAAATCATGGTGTGTTTATACGTTATGGTTAGAAGAACCGAGCAGGCGTGACTCAGTGGATGTTTCTTCCAAATTAACGTCAGAATTAGTCCTTGAAGACATTTTGTTCCACTCATTCTCGACGCGGAAGAAAATCCATTGGAAACGGCGAAATATTTCCAATGCGGTTATGGCGAAAACTGTGAGGTAGTTGTGGCGGAGATGAGCTGACAGCTTGTAAGTCCATGTGCACCTAAGAACCAGATTGCTGCTGAGCACCCAGCAGTGCACCTGCAAATCAGATGACATTATTTTATGATAAAAAGCCCAGTTTGGGATCATTTTTTTGCTATTTATTTGTAATTCTATTTAAAAAAAAATTCGTTAACTGCGTTATCAACAATTTTATATTGGGAGATTTACATACATAACACTCAACTCCCATGCATTTACATGTCAAACATGTATAATTCAGTTCTTACATGTATGCCACCTTATCCATATGATTGAAAAAGATGTATTTGAACTTTTTAAAAGTTAGAATAGAGACATTTTTAATGTGATATGAAAGATTTGGGTGGTATAAATATAAAAAGTAAAATCTTAGTGTTCGATGTGTAAATATATAAGAGTTGGGTGATATGCATGTAAATTTCATTTTTATTTCTATTTTTAAAATAAATCAAGTTCCTTTTAAAAGCTCTTAAAAATAAAAACATTAAATGACTTGGAGGTATTTTGAGTGTTTTTAAAATAATAATCAATGCCAACCCCCACCACTAACAACATAGGCCAATGATTTACCATCTACCATTATTGTCCTGCTGGCAGCCACCACCGCCACCGCAAAACTCAACTTATTTGATATTCAATAAAACAAAAAAAACATGCTTTGAAGATACTAAATATATTTTATTTTGATCTCAAAATATAAAAAAATAAAGTAAAAATGACCTCATACCCACATACGCCCATACAAAAGGCGGGAGACCAGATTTGGATTCCTGAACTTGAATACGGATGAGAAAATGCTGTATATGAAAGCATGGGCGTTAAGAAGATTTAAACCAAGCAGCCAACTATGGGTAAGAAAGAAATAATTAGCTTACCTCAGATCCCAGTCTCGGGTAATATCCCAGTAGAAAGAATACAATGAGTTCAAGATACAGAAGAAGAGCCATAGAGGACGATAAAAGTTTGTCCACTTCACAGGCAAAACATGATATTTGAGAGCGGACAGAAATATCACCGGGACTGCCGTCGAGTACTTCAGAGCTGAACAGCAACAAAGAAGATTGCGAAGGGCAGATGAGAAAATAGATGCTAGTCAAACAACATTATTGAAAATTTTCCAATTATTTACCATTTTACATTGAAGTCTTCAAGATAATTCTCTTATTGAGGAATACTTTCAGCATTTGTTTTTTCATTGTAATCATTCATTTTAAATCATAAGAGTTGCATCACAATCTTCTATATAAAATATTCAAATTAAAGCTATTACATCACATATTTTAATTATATTAAAATAAAATTGTTAGTATCACCCGCCAAAATAACAGATCATAACTCATTCTTAATTTAGTCAATCCTATGAACTTCAAAGTTACAAAAGTAAAAATGTACAATGCAGATATTAGGGCAACCAGTTCAAAACTTGGAAATTTATTTGAATTTTAATTTATTTTGAATTTCAGACATTCACATGTGCATGCCTAAGATGTTATGTCACCCTATTAGGAAAGTTTTTTGGCGATATATATTCAGTTATTTACTTTACAGTTTCCAAGAACATTTGCATTACATTGTGCCTAATGAAAATGTATTATTGTTCCATGAATTCCTCGAAATAACATATAGATTGGCATGTCATCTATTGGATTGTAGTCAACTTCTGTTATTTGTGTGAGAACAAGCGTTTTCAAATGTTTCAATTCTTCCTCCAACTATATTTATACATTTCCCGAAATTAAACATACTTAGATATAACTTCAATTAATTGTTTTTTCTAATTTTTCTAAAATGACCCTCAAGTTGAACTCTACTTCTAGTTAAGTTTAACAAATGATTATATCAACTAAAACCCAAAACATGATGTAAACCAACTAAGCAGAGAAAACTTAATAGCCTTCTATTTGAAATAAATAAAAAAATTTACACACACAACAGAAATTCATGGACTCCATAAAGATCGTAGAAAATTTAGACTCAACGCTCACGCTTATGACCAATAACAAAAATTGTTGGATGACTACGAGAGAAATATCAACCCTATAACGTGAACAAGAAGATAACATCTACTAAAATTATTCAAGTCACTCGCTTAAATCCAATTGAAACTCAGAAATAAAAAAAAAAAAAAGACTCCTAGAGCATAAATTAAAATTTATAAGAAACCTATTAAAATTTTGCAGTTGACTTGAAGATAGCTATTTTATGCTTCAAAAATTTGCAGGAGAAAAAGGATTTATAAACAGAAGTAGCATACCATTCAAAAGAGAGGATCTTTCTTTTGTATCCATGTATTGACGCAAACATTGGAAAAAGCGGCACAAGTAAGGAAAGACCAGGACTAAAGGGATTGCAATAGAATGACTTCCACATATGGAATCAGCTTCAAACCATGCAATGGTAGCAACCTGGAAATCCTCAATTAATAAAATATTATTGCAGAGTAAAAGAAATAACATCTCAAAAAGATTGGTGTATGAGAAAGATGGCTTCACTTTAAAAGCAATGGATATAAACAATTAAAAAATTTATCACGAGAGCTTCAAATGGTCATATTAGAAGTCAAATAATAATCCACACAAAAAGGAGCAAATTAATGATCTAAAATTCCTTCTATTACCATGTGAGATAAATTAGAGTAATCTTTGTTTACTTTCTATTAATATGCTTATTAAGATTATGAGTTTGTGAATTAAATTTTTAACATTTATAGAATAGAGGATCAAGGATGCTTGCTTTAACATTTATCAGTGAAACCTTTTTCACTTTACCAGCAATTTCAATTCTACAATAAAACCTATGGCATAGAAGCAATTCTTTCCCTCTAACCCATGGAGGAGATGTTAAGTGCCCGTTTAAGCTAGAGAAATCAATTACTTGTCCTGGGTTTGGAGTACGTGGCTATAATACAATAGACCAGTTTATAACAATAAAAGTATAAAACCTCCATCCAAATTTGAAACACTGGAACAGGTTGTATAGAAATGTAAAGACTAAAAATAAAATCTCAAACAAATCTAGAACCTTTAGCATGTAATCTTTGCTAGTCCCAAGATTAAAAAATTAAGAAGTACTATGTGAAACATGCACTCATGAGTTAGTGCACAAATTACGAAGCAAATTTGTTTCCAAACACAAAGAATCTGATTCTTTGATCAACTCTAATGTCGCTCAGGCCGCTTACAGCTGGAGTACAGTCCGATCTTATAATGTTACCATGGCAGTAATTGTCAGTTTGAAAGTGTTCAAGGATTTCTTTGTTATTTTCATATTTGCCACGTTATTTTAACCTAGTCAATTGGTTGCCATTTCATTATAATTTATGCTGAGGATTATACAGTCCTGTGCAAAGGAAAAATTCCTACAAACAACTTACTTAGAGCTGTATTAGTGTTTGGATGATTTAAGAAAATTGTATTGACTTCTGTGGTAAGGTGACTCAGACCAAGAGGCTCAATCAGTAGTAGTCGCGACACTTACCAAATCACATAATAATCTGAAAAAATATCTATTAGCAACTAGACAATGTTTGATTAGTTCAGTAAAATAAAAATAAAAAAAAAAGCATTTTCAAAAGTCAAATTCACAGTTAACAGGAAAATTTATCAAGTTAAAGATAATCATGTGAATTCATATCTCTAAATCTTGTCATCAAAGATGACACACAGTAATCGCTTCGACGAAAATTTTACTATTGCACTCACCTGATGGTTTACCATCCGACAAACAGACCGCTCCAGATCGGAGAGCACCTGGTAAGCAATTGAGTCATGAATGATTAAATGGGCTAAATCAAAAAAAACAGAAGCAGATTAAACATGGCACAAACGAAAACAAAAATAGTATTAGATCAAATACAAGAATTTAAATATTTGCAAAAAAAATGACAAAACAATTGGTTGAAATAATATTTGTAAGACTCAGTCTAGCCCATCTTCAAGAGTCGACCTAATCTAAATTTATCTTGACACCTCCTTATGCATTGCTTGACCAAGGTCACCCTAAATTGCTTTAAGTGGGTTTAAACAATCAAGGATTGACACTCTGTTAACCAGGGAAAAACCCCAATCAAACTCTAGTCCTAGCACCCTTTGGGTCACCCATTAAGGTATTAGAGACACCGATTGTGTTTGAACTCTAGTCCCAATGTGTCTCAACTTTAGAGTCCAAAAGCTTACGTTTGAGCTGATCTAAAATTGAATACATTGAATGTCATTTTAATAGAGTAGATCTAGTGGTGTGGTTGTAATAATGGGTGATCAAGTCATTATAAGGAGTGAACATTTTAAAAATCTCGGGTCTACTGTTCAAAGTGATGCTGACATAGACGAGGATGTTATTAGTAAAATTTAAGTTGGATGGTTGAAGTGGAAGAATGCATCGGGCCTAAATGCATCGGGCATGTGATAGAAAAGTACTCTTTAGACTTAATGGAAAATTTAATAAGATGATGGTGAGATCTATAATGCTTTATTGCGTAGAATGTTAGTATATGTAAAAGAGAAGCATAAAATTAAGATAAGTATTGCTGAGATGATAATGTTCAGATGGAAGAGTGGTTTTACACATAGAGACAAAATGTGAAACGAATATATACCTTAAAGGGTTAAAGTAGCTCCAATGGAAAACAAGATTATAGGGAGTCGCCTTAGATTGTTTAGTTACATTAACGTCAACCATCTGATGGCCTAATTAGGAGAGTAGATGTTTTAGATTTGACTTACGTTAAGAAAGATAGAGGTAGACCAAAAAAGACGAGATTGTTATATAAAAATTGATCTTAGCTTATTAGAACTAAGTGAAAATACGTCACTTAATAAAACATAATGGAGAAAAAGGATTCATGTTGTTGACCGACCAAAGCTTGTTGTTCTATATGCTTAATTTTCTTTAATATTTTAAATGTATAAAATTCTTCACATATGCTAAATATTTTTTTAAGATAAACATCAAATTAATTTTTATAAGATAAAAATCAAATTAATAAGGTAATATAATGAGATCATTTCAGAAATAGATTTATGATTCTAATAAATAATGTTTTTAGCCTCCCAAAAATTATTTATGGCATTTATGAGTACTAAAAACAATAAATTTTCCCACACAGCCTCACGCCTTAGTCTTGTTAGGATGACACGTGACCTGAATGCATCTAGGTAAGTGAAGTATCCATAATTATGCAATGTTGTAATATCTTAAATTGGTGTTGTGATACATGTTGTGATCAAAATATGGTTATAATGATAATTTGTTTTGCAACAGACTAAGAACACCAAGCTTTGGTGGATAAAAGAAATTATTATCTTGGCTTAATGCTTGCTTAATTTTTTTAATATTTTAAGACTCTATATCTATAATTGCTCTATGATGACCTAGAAATAACGTGTAATCGAGAAGCCACATGTGATTAAATTTTTACTTGAATTTTACTCTACTAAAATTAACCCAATTTTTTTATCCGGAAAAATTGCATGACAAATCTCTTAGACTTTTTAAAATATAAAAAGATTACATTCTATCCTTGCCGTAGTAGAATAATTGCTGGACAAGGATGTGGGGCCTCGTAACATAATCAAGCTAATTCACACTCTATTTCAGCCTTGTTAATATGCAAATAGTTAAGCTTCATATTAAGGTAAATAACTAAATAAAAATCATTGCATGATATACCTATAAGAGTTAATCATGTGAGCCACTCTAAATGCATAATATAGACTTCTGTACAAAGCATCACTTTCTAAAACATGCCCAGGTAGGTCTAGTGCCATGCCTAACCTAGCATGATATAAGACCAAATGCCCGGCTTCTTGGTCTTCAATAATCGAGGTTGTAATTCATATGATAGGCATTTTCCTTATCAAGTGGAGGATCAACCATATATACCCATTTGTCCTTAAAGCCTAGAACTTATTGTAGGCTCAATATATCAACATTTTTATGTACGATGCATCTAAGGAACTCTTTTAAGTTGTAATGGAATGAAAGGTTTATCAAGGCAGATGTTTTCTATGATGTATCAGAACTTCATTCTAAGCATCTCTTTATACATGTTTATGGATTACAAGTCCTCCAAAAGTGTCGTGCATCAAAGCAGATCCCCTATGGTGTCATGAGTTGACTATGAGCATTTCCATCCAAATTCGTGTAAATGTAAGAACCCAATATCGTAGTGATATCCTAACTCCAATCTAAATATCTCCCTCTAGAGGTTGAGGGGCTATAAAGCCTCAACAACTCTTTTTCTACCCTTTATGCATATCCTCCATAATTTTTAAGTGCAATCTTCCAATCCTCATATTATTTTGAATTTTATTTACTAGTCACTTCTTAGCCTATATGATCTTTCATGCTATATAGGCCAAGCATCTTGATAATATATATATATATATCCTACAAATCCATAACTTTGAGTGCAAGCAAAGCTTCATTAATTGAGAATTTTATCTGTATCATACTTGGAATATAACACCACAATAGCTTGTTCCTATAAGAATCCTCAACGCCAAAATTAAAATAAACACTATTTGATCTCTGGGATACATATATTTAATATTCCTTCCAATGATTAAATATTCTTTAAAGCAATACCTTTCCATCCTCTCTTTTCCATCAGGAGGTGTCTTTCAAAGGCCACAACATTAAAATACACACTAATGAAATCTGCAAATAAGGCTTGGTGGTATGTGAAATAAGTAGTTGTACAATCTTCATTCAGCTAAAGCCAATAAAAAATAGTATAGAAGCACAAAATGGTATACAGGTGTATCCTGTACAACTGACTCTGACAATTGTATGGATTACATCATGCCCAGGTAGGTCTAGTGCCATGCCTAACCTAGCATGATATAAGACCAAATGCCCGGCTTCTTGGTCTTCAATAATCGAGGTTGTAATTCATATGATAGGCATTTTCCTTATCAAGTGGAGGATCAACCATATATACCCATTTGTCCTTAAAGCCTAGAACTTATTGTAGGCTCAATATATCAACATTTTTATGTACGATGCATCTAAGGAACTCTTTTAAGTTGTAATGGAATGAAAGGTTTATCAAGGCAGATGTTTTCTATGATGTATCAGAACTTCATTCTAAGCATCTCTTTATACATGTTTATGGATTACAAGTCCTCCAAAGGTGTCGTGCATCAAAGCAGATCCCCTATGGTGTAATGAGTTGACTATGAGCATCTCCATCCAAATTCGTGTAAATGTAAGACCCCAATAACATAGTGATATCCTGACTCCAATCTAAATATCTCCCGCTAGAGGTTGTGGAGCTATAAAGGGTCTGTTTGGGAGCGCTTTTTAGGTGCGGCGCGGTTATTACACGCAGCTTTTCGCGAAAGTCACCTGTTTGGTTCGCGACTTCGGGCATTCTGGCGGCGGAAGCGGAGTGAAAGCGGGCAGCGACATTACCATCGCGTCTCCCGCTTTCGTCCAAAACTTTTACCCTTTACCCCGCGTCTACCCTTGGTGATTTCCCGCTGCTTCCCCGCGTCTACCCTAAGGTCATTCCTCGCTGCTTCCCTCGCGTCCCCTTCTCCTTCTCCTCTTTCGTTGTCCCTGGACCGACATACCTAAGGTAAGAAGAGCCATTTTCTTCTTCTATTTGCCGATCTGAGGAAGCATGTGCGTTTTGCGGCTCCTACTGTCTTCTCCTTCTCACCTCTTTCCTGTTTCTGCCATTCTTCTTTACTTCCTCTTTCGTGTGGTGGATCTGTAGCTAAATGGCTTCTTCTTATTACTACGATCTTATGGCATACGAAGAACTGCTTCATTTTTTACCTGTATCTGTGGCTCATAAAAGACTCTTACCCGAATCGACCCCTTAGATTTGCGCTAAAATTGGGATTATATGCTATGTTATCTATTTTGCTCCTCACCTGAAATTGGTGCTTCTCGGTTTGGCAAGATGTTTGGCAAGATGTTTGAATATTTTGCTCCTCATTTTAAATGATTGTGCTAATTGGATTTTGCGGATGCTCTTCTCGGTTTTATAGGTATTTTCTGTATTCCATTCTAGACATGTTTTTCACATGCAAAAAAAGAAAGAAGAACATCTGCTCTGGAGAGTTTTTGGGATTTTGTTTTATTGCTGGAAACATTTTTAGTTGCTTTACCTTCAAACTATCGGGGTTTGCTTTGGTTTGGTGTGTTGCAGCTGAACCTTGACATTGATATTTTCTTATTTTTTGTTCTTCGGTTTGATGGAGCTGGGTTTTTTGGAAACCTGCTGGTTGTTTTGCTTGGGTACGCTGAAGCCGAACCCGCAGAAATCCATGATATTTGCCAATTTGTTATGCTGTTTTACATTAGAGATAGTTTGGTGGTTTAAGCATGTATGCACCTGCTGATGGAAGATTCTCGTTTTGGAAGTATTTGAGTGGGGAATTGAATTTAGCTCCAAGTTTTTAGACAGCATATTTGAAAAGAAAATTTGACTGAAAAGTTGGCTCTTTTGAACTCATCAACTTGCTAACTCATATGATTCTCATGTGATACTCATATGATAAATGCTACCCATGTTGTAATTACTTCTCGGTTTGGCTAGTTTCTCGAATATTGGTTTGAACACATCCACTTGGTTATTCATATGGCTCTGTTAAATGGATTTTGTGGATAAATGGATTTTGTGGATGCTCTTCTCGGTTTGGTTATTTTCTGAATTTCATTCTATAGAACATATGGTGTCGTCTTTAAATTTTTAGAAGTTCATCTTGTGATTATTTGCTCTACAAAACACAATTGAACT